TAGTCTGCATGTCAACTATCCTTGGGCAAGACATTAAGTTTCTCTCCGATGCGTCCATCGGAGTATGAATGTTAGTTTAGTAAGCACTTAAAATCAAAGAAGAAAGTGCTGTGTGAATGTTGTGTGTTGTATTAAGCTTTGAGTACTGTGGGAGAGAAGCTCTATATAAGAATCAGTCCATTTACCATTTGCATTTTGAGTAAATTGATAATATATTCTGTCAGTTCTTCAAAAGATAAATGTATGCAAAGCATCGTGACATCTGTCCTAAAAAGCCATCGTGATTATGTGAACAGCACAGTCACTTCATGAATTTGTTTCATGTCAGGTCAACATGTTTGTGGAGGGGTTCCATGATGCCCTGTTACTGTATACCATCGCCTTGCATGAAGCCATGAAAAATGGGTACAGCAAGAAGAATGGAACAGAGATCACCTCACGTATGTGGAACAGAACGTTCGAAGGTAAACACACGAGATGGTGTTATGTGACCATCATTTAGTCTGATGTTATTTTGTATATGATCAAATATAAACTTGCAGACTTCATATTTGCTTAACTCTAAAGCAACATCTGCACATCGACAAAACAAGAGCAATGAAGAATGAACGTTTAAATGCCACTGATGCAAAGGAGTAAAAAAAAATCAGGCTGACGTGGAATTAACACTGACATTAATATACCATTGTACAGAAAATACAGTGACTGATGACTCTGCAGGTACTGTGCAAAATAATAATGATCGCTCTGAAATCATTTGCTCTCTAGAAAACTAACAAATTTGAGAAGCAGTTTTTGAACCAACTTTATGTTAGACTACTTTTAATTAACTGCTTTAGCCCACTTACAATGAAAATTAAAAAAAAATCTTGTTCATGACCTGTAGCATGTTAACACTATTGGAAGTAAAAATAACTTGAACTCCAATTTTGAAAACAAAACTTTATTTTTTCTTTTTTTTTTGCTCTGACTTGTATTATGAGTCTGTGGTCTGGGAGAGAGTCTGTCTGCAAAATACAGTAAATAATGACCAATGTAGGGCAATTAATTATATAGTTACTTCTTCAAAAAAGTAACTGAGTTTTGCAAACAACAAAGTTTTGCAGCTTTTACCTAAAAATGCAGCCAAGGCGTTTTTAAACAAACATTTCAAACTATTTACAGAACAATCAGCTGTTCTGCATCAAATCTGATGCCACACAAATTATTTGTGTCACTCCAAAAAATAATTTCTGTCCACTATGAGATGAAGGAGAACAACAGCCTGATACCTGCAGGCCTGACAACAGGAGATGTATCACTGCTGTAACACCTGTAACACTCAGCAGTCGCCTCATTGTTCTGACACACAGGCTGGGGGAGGGGTTTGATGTTGTCTTTGCTCACAGGCTTTCGAGCGTTTTCCTTATAAAACGCAGTTTTTCCCGTTTCTTCCTGCAGTAAATATAAACAACGACAGTATTCAGGAAGAAAAACAAACATTGCAGATATTTTATCATAACTCTGGTTTTACGTGGCCGATCAACACAATTTAAAAACTGGTATAAAGTCCACACTTTTTCTGTCAGTTGTTCCGTCTGTCCTGCTCACGTCTCCAATGGTTGTCCACGTTGTCATTAACGTGGCTTCACTCCTCATCAGCCGCTTTGCTAAAACACCGGTGTCGGCACATAAGGACGCTGTCAGAGGCTGTCAACGTCGTTGATCAGCTGCGTATATACGAATGTGAATCGCATCATTGGCTGGACTGTGGGATAAGGTGGCATCGTTCTGATCCCATACGGGAGCAGCCAGTCACTGACTAACACTGCAGAACAGAATTGTTAAAGTTTTAATCTTAATTTCAATTCAGGTTAGATTTTTTTTGTGCGCAACACAGCTTTTCTGTGCGCAGAGACGTGCCAGCAGCGCGCAGCTTAGAGGGAACATTGGTTGTCAGTCCACATAGTATTTTCCCAAACGTGTTGGGGATCATCAGGATACTTGTTGGTGAGATGAGCCTTTGTGTTGTTTTTGGTTTCTCCTTGGAACTCTCCCATGGATGCCATTTTTGCTCTGCGTCTTGTTGAATAATGAGCTCTGACCTTAAGTGAGGCAATGAAGGCCTGCAGTTCCTTAGATGTTGTTCTAGGTTCTTTTGTGACCTCCTGGAGGAGATGTCGATGCACTTTTGGAATCATTTTGGTAGGTTAGTCACTCCTGGGAAGATTATTTAAAATCTTTGTTTAGTACTACAATTTATTTTGTGATCTGAAAGATGTAAATGTGACGAATATGCCAAAAAGGAAAACAAAACAAAAACCTTTTCATGCACTATGAGGTAGTGAGGTATCTTTCCCTCTACATTTCTGGGATTGTAGTCAAATAATGCTGCTTCATAATGGGTTGCAGGAATTGCTGGCCAAGTGTCTATAGATGCCAATGGTGATAGAAATGGAGATTTCTCTTTGATGACCATGATAAATGTTGAAGCAGGAACCTATGAGGTAAGAAGAAGCTCTAAGATCTCTAACAGGCTTCGTATTGGGAATGTGTTGTGCAGCTTAATAACAACAACAATCTGACTCATTTACAGGTGGTGGCCAATTACTTTGGTGTAAATGGGACTTTTCAGCTGTTGCCAGCATTCAACACTGAGCATTTCACTCTGAAAGGAGGGGATAAAGACCACCCTGAGAAAACCGATAAATCAGACACACCCTGTAAATGTATGTTAATGACACGTGTGACATTGATGAACAATATTTTGGTGCAGTGTTTGTTTTCACTAATGAGTGCTCATCCAAACAGGTGGACTAGGAGTGTCAGCTTTGACTGGAGTCATAGTCGGAGCTGTTCTGGGGGCTGTGATCCTCGTAGCGTTCTACTTTTTCAGGTAAAAAACTATGTAGTCAGCTCTTCTGGACAGTGGCATGTTCTGGTGTAATTTTGCCTTGGATAAAAACTATGTACACTTCAGGAATTATATCTCAAATGAAACCTTACTGACTCAAAACTGGTTTACTTACTGAAATTAGGAAGAAATGAAAACTTCAGAGTTAATCAGCAGTCACATCATCAAACACTCAAGTGAAGGACTTTCATATTAGATTTTCCTGATTTATTTTGCATGTTATAGCGTTTTAACTTTAGCCCCTGCTTTCAGAGGTCTCCATGACTTTGCTGAGTATGATTTAATGGTGAAAGAGAGGAATTAAAGTAAAAATTGTAGAGGAAAAACAAACATATTGAAAGACATCGTTTTCTACTTTATTTTGAATCCTTCTTGTGCAGAAAAAACTACAGAATTACCATTGAGCGTCGCACACATGGCGAAGAATGTGACTCTGGGAAGCATCGTCAGCTACGAGAAGACTCCATTAGGTCAAACTTCTCAGCAGCATAATGAGAGGCTGACACAGTCCATGGAGAATCGCACATGTGACCAAAGACTTTGCAGTGGCTGTCAGTAGACCCACAGTGTTAATCATGAGACACTCGTTTTTGTGTCCTTTGATGTTTTGACTTATAACTCAGGACAGCTGTAACAGTCACAAAGCACCACTCACTTGGATTTTCCCCCACACAAAGGTAAATGATTGTATTGGTGTTTCATGATATTTGGCCACAATGTTCTTTGAGGTTTTTCTAGGCATCTGTTGTTATTATTATTATTATTATTATTATTATTATTATTATTATTATTATTATTATTCACACCATTCTAACTAATAACTGTGAATAATTCAAAACAGACGGCATATTTAACACTATATTGGCATGCACTACTAGCAGAGTTGTTGAGATCTATTTTTACCTTGCAGTTGTATAAACAGTGTATACGTGTAGTAAACCTAAATGTCATCTTAACACTTTAAGGATATAACAGAGCTACAGGGGTATAGACTCGATCTATATCAATAGGTGATAAGCTACTGATCTTGAGCTACAGATACTGTAAGGTTTTCAGTCCATTACAACATTGCTGCAGTCTGGTAGCCTCCATACAAATCATGCTCCATCAGTTTTCTAATCATGCTGATTTCTAATGATTGTTTTCTTTTAAATAATTTTATTTGAAAAATTCCTCATATAATTAATTTACCACCTGAAAAGATACTACAGATATTTTTACTGATAATGTGTACTTTACGTTGCATTTTTATTACTGGTTCTTTATGAAACTTTAATATAGCAGTAAACAATATTTTCTGTGTAAAGATGTGTATAAAAGCATAATTGCAGAGAATCACTTCACACTTCCTGTCTGTGTCTTGCAATACAAGCGTCTCGTACATGACATTTCACGAGTCCTTACCTTTGAAACACTGTCCTGGTTCATAAAGAGACACGTGAAAGTGAAAGTGAGATGACAAAGTACACTCAGCCCCAAAACCCAAAGTAGTAAAAACAATACTTTATTCATATTTACTTACTTTCAGCATCCCTGCTGTTCTCCTCTGTGCTCTCTTTCATTCTGTGTGTCTACATCGCCTTTGAGGCTGTAAATAAATTGCAAAGAGAAGAGAAAGGCGACCTGATATTTTTGACACTTGTCTCACTTTCTGATGTCCGTAAACACAAATCTGGACAGGAGCCCAACAGCACATGATCACCAAGGCCAAGTTTTTTGCCAAACGAGAATAAGTTATTAGAAGTAAGTTATTGTTATTAAGGGCGTATTGTTGAGACATTCATTAATTAGTTAGTGGTTTATTTATATTAGTACAGTCGTGGTTTTTAGTAACATAAATAAGCTCTTTTCTACAGGCTGTTTAATAAAGAGATCTATAGATAAGGTTGTTAGCTTACTTATTGAGGTTGTACGCAGGGGAAAATCATTTCAGCAAGAACTGATTTATTGTTTATCATTTCGTAAAAAAAAGCAAACAAAAACAATTTTATTCTTAAGCACTGGGTTATTTTTTTTAATCTGTGTGTAATATTATTATAATGACTCCTGGCATGTGGTTGTTTAGGATGACTGAACATTGAACGCGGTGTGTTTAAATTATTTCTTGTAAATTATAACATCTATTATGTTACATATTTCTCTAAATTTTGAATTTATAATAAGTTTGTATTTTCTTGTTATGATTATTTCTAAAGCATACTTTTACTGCAATAATAGTTCAGTTGTACCCTACAAATACTTCTCAAGTATCACTTATAATACAAATATAGGGAATTCTTTATAAGCCAGTGTTAATGTTGATATTATTTTAATTAGAGTATACGTTGTGATAGGAATACAGATTATCCTACGTCATTAAACTTTTGGTTTGTCTGAAATGTCATCAACATTGTTTTGTTTAATAACATGCAAATAATGAATAATGAGAATAAAAAGTGATATTGAATTCTTTATGAGCATTCAAAGGCCAAATAATACAAGACAATGATGGAGAAGGTTTATCACATTTCATAGTAAATTTAAAGTTATAAAACTATTTGATGTCATACCGACTGACAATATGTTTCTTTGACAAAGAAGAGGACAAGAAGTGACTTACTGTTGTTTAGTGAAACGAGATAAGCAGCATATAAACGGAAGTAAATTCCAGTGATGTAACAGAACTTATCATTAGGCAGGTTTTATGGCAAATGCATATGAACACATGGGAAATAATATTCTATGGGACCTACAACATACAATGCAAAAAGAAAGAAATTGAACGTTTTCTGCTAAAAGGTGATTAAAAAACAAGTTGAGTGCTTTGTGTTTAATGATATTTTTAAGAGATCTTATTTCTTTTCCTTTTCTTTCCCTCTGCTTTTTGATTCAGTTTAGACCAGTGTTTCCCAACCTTTTGGAGACACGACACATATTTCACATTAGGAAAATCACACAGCACACCAGCAAACAAAAATGTCACAAAAAGCATGTTGATAATTTTTCCCCGCACACCAGGTTTAGCAGAGTTGGCTCAGTTTGTCCGCAGTATATCTTTTTTGCCTTCTTTTGACCACTACTCATGCTAGGGCCTTCATCCTGTTTGGAATAGTGATGTGTCGGTCGCGAACGAAACAGCTCTTAGAGCCAACTTTTTGAAGTGAACGACGCGAGCTGGCTCCTTATTGGGAGCCGTGGGTTTTTTTTTTTCTTTCTCTCACCCTCTCTCTCACACTTTTTTTCCACTTCACTCCGCACATCAGCCTTGTGCTTTGCGCTGGGAAAGCAAAAGGCTCGCAGTAGCACAGGAACAGAGCGGGAGACAGAGAGAAAGAGAGCCGGGGACAACAACGTCACATTAGAAAGGTATAGTAATCATCCACAACTATTTTCAGATGCGGATGATAAAGGATTCAGAAAGTTTATTCATGCAGGTCCATATGACAGAGAATATGCATGTTCTTTTTGTTTTATATTTTTTCATATTTATATTTAATTGTGTTGTGGTTTGCAGTGATTTGTGTTGTTTCACTTTAAATTTGTTTTCAAAGGAAAAAGCTGAAAATTTAAATAGTTAAAAGTTGAAATGTAAATAGTTGGATTTTGTATTATATGATTTATTTATTACATTTTATGTGGAGTGAATAAACAAAAGTATATTTACAGTGGCCCCTACAGACAAAACACGTCCAAACTCCAAAACACGTAAAAACTCCAAAACACGTAAAAACTCAGAAGCACATAAAAACTCAAAACACGTACAAAACACAACAGCAGTGCTCCAGGATGCTAGGGCGCAGTGTTGAGCTTTTGTTACCTACTGGCTACACAAGCCAGCAAGTACCAACGACTGGATTTTGATGTGTGGTAGTAACAGGTAAACATTTTTTTAAATTATTTGAATATATATGAGTGCCTGTGTATAAATACACAAACAATACACATATGCTTTCATGCTTTCGATTGTGTAATTTAAGTGATCTAGGTAGCTCTGTTTTGGAAGTTCAGTTAACGCTATAAATGTGTTTTGGAGTTTGTACGTGCTTTGTCTCTAGGGGCCACCGCATATTTTTATATATAAACATATATAAACACATTAGTAATTCCTTTCGTGCATAATGTTATATTATTGTTAATAATAAATTAATTAATTAAAGCTGATTAAAACAAAATAACCTGAAGAGCCGGTTCGGAGCTGAAAGAACTGGCTCTTTTTAGTGAGCCGAACCGAAAGAGCCGGTTCTCTAAAAAGAGCCGGAAATCCCATCACTAGTTTGGAATTTTCTCCAGGACCCAGGTCAGATTGATTACTATTTCTTTTCAAATATCTACTGCTAATAAGCACTGCGTTGTCTCACTCACAGGATGACTTTTATGCAATTTCTTCTTTGTCTTCTTCTGTTTTACTGGCAGTTGGCAACCTATTTAATTGGAGCAAGAAGTTGTACTTCCCTCTAGTGGAAGAGAATGTAATTGTTCTGCCTGTTCGCTTGGAGCAGGGTTGTCCAACTCCAGGCCTCGAGGGCCGGTGTCCTGCAGGTTTTAGATGTGTCCTTGATCAGACACAGCTAATTTAAATGGCTAAGTAACCTCCTCAACATGTCCTGAAGTTCTCCAGAGACCTGGTAATGAACTAATCATTTGATTCATTGGTGTTGACCCAGGGTGAGATCTAAAATATGGTAGAGTACCAATCAGGTGAAACCAGATAATCTTTCTCACGGCACACATATGTGCCATGGCACAGTGGATGGAAAACATTGGTCTAGACAACAAACACTTATTTTGGGTTTCAGAAAAGATGGTGGTTTAGGTCTTAGACAATTTGAAAACCTTTGCCCTTGGCGTTCAACCTGTTTTTAAATCTCTTCACAGCACTGAATCTGTGCTGCTGAAGATTTTTTAATGATATTTCCGTGGCTACAGATTCAGGTGAGTATCCTCACTCCTGAGGAGTGGTTCGGATTTTTCCTGGCTCAGAAACCTTTTTCTGTTACTCTAAACAATTTCAGATCATCCTCTGTTCTCCATTGTTCTGTGGGGATTTTGTTGTCCCTCCTGAATGGCCATATTCCTCACCCTATCATTAAAGGAGAGCCACATTTCAGAGACTCATTTCTGCCACCTGACAGGCTGAGGAGGCCTCTCTCAGAATGCTGTTAAACTTCACCTGGAGGTGGAAATGGAAAATCCCATGGGCCAGGGCTTTATCCACATGCTTCCAGGACACTCTTACTGTACGTTTGGGCACACCAGTCTTGTTCAAAACATAGATCTAGTAATAATTACACAATTGATCATCACCCTGCAATCTAAGGTGTACTAGTGTCAAGTGCACTTATAAACAACAGTATGCTTGAACACAGTGTTACTTATGAACAAACTGGTTGGAACAGATCAGGATCCTACCAGTTAAACAACAGTTCCTTGGATTACTGTGACAAACAAACCCCTCCATCATAAGGTGGCAATTCATGGATGACATAGTCCAAAAAAAGAGAAAATATCAAGTGGGTACCAGTTCTTTCGGGAAGATGCATTGTATTTTAATTCAGTTCAATTCAGTTTTATTTATACAGCGTCAAACCACAACAACAGTCACCTCAAGGTGCTTTATATTGTAAGGTAGACCCTACAATAATAGATACAGAGAAAAACCCAACAATCATATGACCCCCTATGAGCAAGCACTTTGGTGACAGTGGGAAGGAAAAACTCCCTTTTAACAGGAAGAAACCTCCGGCAGAACCAGGCTCAGGGAGGGGCGGGGCCATCTGCTGTGATTGGTTGGGGTGAGAGAAGGAAGACAGGATAAAGACATGCTGTGGAAGAGAGACAGAGGTTAATAACAGATATGATTCAATGCAGAGAGGTCTGTTAACACATAGTGAGTGAGAAAAGTGACTGGAAAGGAAAAACTCAATGCATCATGGGAATCCCCGGCAGCCTACGTCTATTGCAGCATAACTAAGGGAGGATTCAGGGTCACCTGGTCCAGCCCTAACTATATGCTTTAGCAAAAAGGAAAGTTTGAAGCCTAATCTTAAAAGTAGAGTGTTACGGTCCTGTGGTCCGGTCCAGTGTTTTGATTTTGTATTATTGTTTATTAGTCTGTTTTCTTCTACTGTTCATGTTTACTAGTGTTTTGCTGTCTGTTCTGTATTTCCGAGCTTGTGGATTCCTTGCCACTTGTGTAACTCTGTACTGTGTTAATTTTGTCTCTGAGTTCAGTCTGTGAATTTCCTGTTTTACTTTTAAAGGTCTTGTCTCATGTTAATGTATTCTGCTTTACTTCCTTGTCTTGTCTAGGCTAATGAGTTCCAGCTGTGTGCCCAGCTGTTCCCTGTGTACCTGCCAGTGTATTTTAGCCCCTGTCAGTCAGTACTTGTTGTTGCGTCGTTAACATCAGTTCTCCTTCGTGCTGTGTCTCTTCTGATATTTTCTTGTGTATTTCGATTCTAGCTTTCCAGTTTAGGCTTTCTGTTTGGTTTTCCTTGGCCAGCAATAAAAGCCACTTTTGAGTTCATGTTTTGCCTCTATGAGTCCTGTGTTTGGGTCTAGTCCTTCCTGCCTGCACAGTACACCATGACAGAACGACGCGACCATAAAATGGACCCAGCAGACACAGGTTTTGCCATGGAGGAGGAAACGCTCGAGCAGCTGCAGGATTACTGCAGGAGGTAATCCATGCCATGGACAATTGTAAGAGACTTCAACAGGTGGTGTTTTTCAATCACTTCCTGTCATCCACTACCTGTGCCGTCAGTTTTTTGGACATTAAAGGATTAAAACTAATAATAACTAATCTGGGAGCAAGGTTCTGTTTTGAACTGTTTTGCATGGGCAGTGCAGCCAAGGAGGACTCAGCCACACTTCTACAAACCCTCACTGCTTGGTCTGTGCGGTCACTAGCTCAGGCCCCTGTGCAGTAAGCCACCCGGCCTGTAGCTCAGTCAGCCACTCAACCACCTGCTCTGTTTTCACCACAACCACCACTTCAGCCGATAGCCCAGTCAGCTGCCCAGCCTGTAGCCCAGTCAGCCGCCCTGCATTCAGCCCAGTCGTTTCTAGTTCAGTCTCCTGCTCGGTTTCCTGCTTACTTGTCTTTAGCTCAGTCTCCTGTTCCGTCGCCCCTAGCTGAGCCTGCTATTCAGCCTCCTGTGTTGCCACTTGCTCAGCCTGCTATTCAGCCCGCAGCTCTGCCACCCATTCTGCCACCATCCTCACCCATTGATTCTATGCAGGGAGAAAGTCTCACTCCAACCACAGGTGTTTCTCGTGAACTGGCAGTTTTTTAAACAGTTACTCCCTCCAGGGCCTCCCCAGAGGTTGGGTTTCAGCCCTTAGGTGATTCTGGATCCCTGGGCAGGGCCAGTGCCCTGCTGGTTTTGTGTCTGCCTCTGCTGGAGGATACCAGGGACCACACAGGAGGATCCGAGGGGCCCGTTCAGCAGCCTGTCTCCGCTGGAGGGACCAAAGGGCCTCCTGCAGCTTTCATCTGTCTCAGCTGGAGGGTCTGAGGGACTGCTTCAGCCTTCTGCCTCCACTGGAGGGTCCGAGGGGCCTGTCCAGCCTTCCTCTGCCTCCGCTGGGGGGTCTGAGGGAGTGCAACCACCTGCGGTTTCTGCACCATTGCCTGATGCGCCCTCGTCTACCTCGTCGGTTCTGCCTTGTCCGGTCCTTCCTTGTCTGGTCCTGCCTCGTGTGGTCCTGCCATGTCTGATTCTATGGCTGCCACACCACTGCCTCATTCATTTCCGACTCAGCCTGCATAACCTCGTGCACGTCTGGTTTGGTGTTCAGGTAGCTGCTCTGCTCTGTGTTGGTACAGGGCATTGAAGATGATAACAGTGGGTGGATTATATTCTTAAACTTAGTTACAGCGCTTTCAGAAAGACATCTACTGTGATAAAGTCTACTCTCTATTGTAAATGTAAATGTTATCAGGAAATGATCAGACAGGAGAGGGTTTTCAGGAAACACTGTTAAATGTTCAGTTTCTATGCCATATGTTAAAACAAGATCTAGAGTGTGATTAAAGTGGTGGGTGGGTTCTTTTACAGTTTGAGAGAAACCAATTGAGTCTAATAACAGATTAAATGCCATGTTGAGGCTGTCATTTTTAGCATCTACATGGATGTTAAAATCACCCACAATAATTATTTTATCTGAGCTCAGAACTAAATCAGATAAAAAGTCTGAGAAATCAGACAGAAACTCTGTGTAAGGCCCAGGTG